CTCTGCTGCCTTGCCCAGGTGTGGGGTGGCTGCAGCGCCTACTTCCCACACCCCCGTGCTGGGGCTGCAACTGAAGGCTGCAGGTTGCCAGTCCCTTCCCTCCCACAGCTGCCACCTCTCAGAGATGCAAATTTCTCTCTCTGCTTCATGCAAACAAACCAGTTCTCATAGCCAAGGTGCCTCCCCTCAGGCACAAGCACGGCCATGGTGGTGCCCACTCCCTGAGCCCCAGGCCTGGCAGCTGAACCCAGGGATCTGAGTCGGCTGGCATCAGTTCCTGTTTCCTAGCCACCTGCTCTCTTCCCTGGGGGGCCTTGGCTGTCCTTACTGGCTCAGGTGTCAGGGACAGCGTGGGCAGGGAGCAGCCTCTGCATTTATGGAGACTGGTCACTGTCCCCTCCCAAGGTGCTGCAGAGGGGCCACCTCGCCTGGCTGCTCCAGCACAGCACACGATGGGGCCTCCTCACGGAGGCTCGCTCTACCTGACTTCCGGGGATCTCTGAGCCAGTAGGGCCGTCTTCATCAGCCCTGGAGGAGCCACACCTGGGGCCTGGCGGCTGTGGCTCAATACCCAGACTTCCCTTCTACCCGTCCCCAGGTACAGCTGCCCTAAGCCGCGCCTCTCAGTGGGTGACTGGAACCCAGGCCTGCACCCCACTGGCATAGGTCTCTGGGTGGGGTGGGCTCCACTCTTGGGACACTGCCAAGCGTGTGAGGAGAGCACGCAGGAGACTGTGCTGAACAAGTGAAGGCAACAGCTCGAGCGCCGCCTCCATGCACACCGTGGCCTTGGCCTCCCTCCCTGGCTCGGGCACTAACTTGGTTCCTTGTGGGCACCTGGATGCAGACGTGTTGGTCCTGCACTCCGCCCTCGGAATTGGGAAACCGCAGCAGCCCCACCAGTTCTCAGGCACAGATTTCTGGGCTGTCATTGTCCACTGCAGGCACCTCTGAGACCGCCCCCCGTCCAGGAGCCCCTGTACTATGTAGGGGCTGCGTCAGACTGTCCCTGGGACTTCAAGCAAACGTTCTCAGGTAGGAGGGCACACCCAGGGGCACACCCCCAGCTCCATGCGGGTGGCCCAGGCCACACCTACCAGGTTGCAATGGCACAATAAAGGTCACCTCATATTGGAGTTATTCTGAGCCCTGTGAACAATGCTAAACATTTTTAGGGTGGTTTAATTCTCACGGGACCTCTAGAACTGTCCTCATGTTCCACAGTGGGACATAACACCATGGTCATTCAGCCTAGAAGCAGCAGAGCCTGGATTCACCCCAAGCTCACCAACCTGGGGGCCAAGAGCAGAGCCCTCTGTCCTTCTGGCCTTTCTAGGTGAGCTAGGCTGCGTGGCGCCCTCTGCTGCCCACAGGAGCACAGTGCCCAGGTGCGATGGCCACACCCTGGCAGCACTGGCCACGCCTGGGGGGTGTTCCTTTGGGCCTCAGCCATCCATCAGTCCACCCCCTTCTCATTGTGTAGAAAGCTGGGGGTGCCTGGTTCTGTGGAGGCAACGCGCAGCAATGGTCCCTGGGATCAGGGATCTTGAGTCCTGTCTGGGCTTGGTGCAGGTCATTGTGACTCTTATGGGTCTCCTCAAACTGAGCCAGCAAGGCCTTTCTTCTGTGACTGTCCCACATTGTCCTTGGGAAGATTCCTATAGCTTCTCCCAAGTTCGTTGCTTCAGTCCCCTCCTGGATAACTTAGGCAGCAGTAACTCACCTAGCTAGTAGATTCCAGGAGCCAAGGCCCAAGCTCAGGAATGGCTCTCCCCCCTTGCTCTGGGAGCTGTTTTCCTGCTTACAATTCATTTTCAACCTCTAGCCAGGGACCGGATAAGGTGTTTGGCTGTTGCTGCCGCCTGAGGCCCACAAACTTGTAACTGCTCTGTCTCCCATCACTCTCCCCCATATCTACTCCCCAGGTCTTTGCACTTGCTGTTCTTCCTGCCTGGAGTGTTCCTCTCCCCGACCTCCCAGATTGTCTGTGTGAAACGCCAACCCCCTTCCCTCCTGGAATGTGTCCTTCACTTTGTTCCTCTGCAGTGCCACAACCTTTACATCCCTTCAGGTCTGTCTGATGAATTAGAATGTAGCTCCATGAGGGCAGGGGTTCTCTCCTTGGTTACTGCTGTTCCTGGAGCCAAGAAGCATACAAATGATGTCCAACAAATATATGAATTGCAAAGGGTCCCAGGCAGCGTGCCCACAGGCGGGTACCTCCTCAAAGGCTAGCCCTAGGACAAGCCCTGTTCGCAAAGCTTCCTTCCCTCCAAACTCAGAAACAGGATGCGAGGAAGGGACAGTACTCACCCTGGCCCTGTCTCTTCCCAGGGCCTCCAGCACGTGGCCCTCCCCTCTCTCTGCAGCCTGTCTCCCCATTACTCACTGTCTGAAGGTCTCAGCTTGTGTTATACCCTCAAAGAAGCCTCCAGCTCCCTCCAAGCACCTACTCTCCCACATAATGGGACTGTGACTGAGCAGCAGGCTTGGCCACCCTCAGCTGCTTAGTCTGAATGGCTATGGATGAAGTGAGGTCACCCACATGAACGAACTGTTTAGTAGAAGCTCATCAATAATGGTCAGCTGGTATTACTATACAGTGGACATCGACATTTGTTGTGACAGAAGAGCAGCGTGTTGGGCATGTGGAAGCCAGAGGCCACTGGATGACCCACAGCCCACACCTTGACCATCACTGTCCCAGATGATGTCAGTGCCACCATAGCTCCACCTCCCAGACCATCCCTGCTGTTCTCACACAGCACTGTCTCCCCTAAACATGGCATCCACTGACCTCAAAGCTTGTTAGAAATGCAGCCTCTTGCTGCCTTGTCCAAGACCCATCCAATTAGAGCTTAGATTTTAACATACAACTGCCCCAGAAAGCACCATTTCAAAATTAAGGGCTAAAAATGGTGTGTGGTCCTGGTTACTAAACTAGTACATCTCCATCTTACTGACAGGCCGTCAGGACCCACTCTCCCATATCCTGAGCCTCTACTCACCCCTGCTCACCGCCCATCTTTGAAAAGGATTTTTTTTGTTGTTGTTGGCTCAGGTGGATCTGCTAAGGCATGAGGAGCTGGGGATCGAATCACGGTGCCTGCGCCTGACTGGGTTTGCCCCAGCAGGCACTTAAAAAACTGAGCTAATACACAAGCCTGCCATCACAGCCCATCTTTGAAAGCTGGGGTAGCCACAAAGGCCCTTGGGCACTACTCTCTTGGCAGGGGCTATGGCTGGGTCACAGCAGGCAGCAGAGGGAGGGGCCTTCTCAGGAATAGGGGAGGCACCCTATACAACCTGAGCTGGCCAGGGAGGTGGTGTGAAGCACCTGTTTGTTCTACCAAGAGGGCTGGGCTCCTGACCCCTGCAATTACCCCTCCCCATCCCCTAGATAAGCTGAAAGCCCCCCGCCCTGTCACCCAGCCCCCGTGGGAATCGCTCAGGTCAACAACTACCACCAAACTTGCTCCTGGTGCCCAGGGCCCAGTGACTTGACAGGTTACAGCCCCAAAAACAAATAGATTCTGCCAAGCAAATAACTGTTCAGCAGAAGGGGTGTCAGGGACTGTCTGCGAGCGCATTGGCGCTGCCAGAGACCCAGGTGATGGGGTGGGGCCCTCTCCTGCAGAGAATAAACAGCTACAGGTGACTGGAAGGAAGGAGGATGCAGGTGCACTGTCACAGGTCTGTTCTGGGAAGAGGACACTTGCTGAGGGTCTCAGGGTGTCTCCCAGGCTTCTGCACGCTGGGCTGTGCCAGGCTGCTCTGAGTCGTCTCACAATTGGGCCCCTGGGTAAGACACTAGCCAGGCCTATGTATGTCCTGGCCAGATCCTGCCCCCACACCTACGCCCTAGAGCCCCTAGCCCACAGCCATCATTTAGAATGCAGCTTGGCCAAGCAGGGTCTGTAGATGAAGGGCTGGCTCCGCAGGACCCGGCAATAATGCTATCATCTAGGAGAACACAAAGGGCCACCCGGCCAGCCACTGACCTCAGACTAGGGCGATGCCTCCTCTTGCTGACTTCACTCTGCAACACATGGGGTGAGGACATGCTGGTTTCCAATTTAACTTACCTCGGGCTCTGAGGCCAGCCCCCCAAAACCTACCCAGCCCATCATAAACCAGGAGGGTTTTCAGAACTGCAGCCACCCTGGCAAGTCCTAAAATGCATTCTCCTTTCTAAACCTTGGGAGCTCAGGTCCAGTTGGGAATGAGAAGGGTACCTCAATGCCAGCTCACCTGCTGTCCCAAGAGGAAGGATGTCCCCAACGCTGTCTTCTGTGTGTGATGTGCAGGCCGCACAGCAAGGGCCCCAGTGATGCTTGCAAGTTGAGCAACGCTAACTTGGCAGGGCCTGTGTGTGTGCTGGGGACAGGGTGGTAATCAACAAAGGCACGGCACTCTAGGACCTTAACAGCCACTTGGAAGCTGATTCCTGACCTTTCCACTGGGCACTAGGAAGGACAGCATGCCCAAGTACAACCCCAGGACTGAGTCCCAAAAATGCAAGGAAACTCCTGGTCTCAGTATCTCCACTGAGGAGATAAAGACCCAGAGACACAAGTGTCATCACAGAGCCACTGCAGTGTCCCACCTCCATGCCAGGTAGGTTTGGGGTAGCAAGAAGACACAAGGGCAAGTTTTTTGTGTGTTAATTTAATCATACAAATATTCATTTACACAGTAAGGAAAACCTCATCTTCAGCTCCTCCTAGGCACCATGAGGCCCCACCACAAACACCCACCCACCCACCAGCTCGCTCATCACACACTCGGCTGTCCAGGTGGAAGTGGCAGCCCCACTGCTCCCACACTCACCCATGGAACCAAGGGAAGGTGACACAGGGCAGGCAGGTTGGCGGGGTATCAGCTGCCCCTCTGAGCCCTGGCAACCCTACCTCGCTCTCCTGCTGGGGCTCAAGACTGAATTTGGGGAGAGGTTCATTCTCACCCGCATCTCACCTTAGCGGCCTACAGGCCACCAGCTAGCTCTGTGAGTTCTCTCCAGGCAGGACATGTCTTTGATGGGCTACGGGCTATAGCCAGTCCTCACTAGGAAAGAAGCTGTTTCTTGCAGAAAAATGCCCCAAATTCAACTGTCCCCACAGCAAAAAGAAAAAAGGCATGCACACGTGCACACACATTCACACACACGCCCCTCACTCCAGACCGCTTCTTCCCCAGACTGCACTCCTCCATAACCCCAGCCAGGCTTAGGGCCCCTCACCCAAAGACAGTGGCTGGCCCACTTTGTGGGTGCCAGATGCTGGCATCCTGCCCAAAGGTGGACTGCTGCGCTTGAGGATTCTGAGGAGCAGGGACTCCTGGGGCTGAGAGAGAGCCTCTGCCATCCTACTACATAGGGGAGAAGAGGCATCAGGCATTGCTCAGACCTTGCATTAAAGGGAGAATGATGGTACCAGTGCCCTCCTCTGACCCTGGCGAAGCCACCACTCAAAGCCTGCACCTGCTCTGGCCTTCTGTAGAAAAATTCACCTCTCAGAGGATGTGCACAGAAATTGGTTTTCCTTGGGAAGGAAGCCAAGGTACCTACAACTTGTCAGGCGAGGATGCCTACAAGCAAGAGGAGTGGGATGGCTCCAGCAGGTCTGGACTTACATGAAGCCTTTGCTGGGAACCTGGGACAGGACACCTAGTGTAGGCAGACAGGGAAGGAAAGCAGGAAAGCAGAGGGTGTGAAGCTGCCCAGGATTCTGCCAGAGGCAGCTGGAGACAACCTGCTTCAAGGCTGGCAAGCAGGAATGGAGGGGCATGTGTGCACTCCAGGGTGGCAGTGTCCCAGAGATTGGCACCAGCAGCAGCAGCAGCCTGGGTCTAAGAAGGCTTTGAGACAGAAAGCCATCCTGAGACCTGTGGTGCAGCACCCAGAAAGGACTCCCCTCGGCTCTGCTAGGGAGTGGGGTACTGTGTGCATAGAAAGTAGGCGCTCCAAGGACACCTAGGCCAGTCCCAGCTGCAGGCCCTTCCCCGTGATGAGCTCCACTCTTCTCCAAGGCTTCTGGAGCGAATTGAAGATTTTTGGGAAAAGGAGAAGTGAAGGGGAAACTTCATACAAGCTTCTTGCCCACAATCAAGCATTTAAAAACAAAGAGTCTCGGAGGAGATGAGGAACACCACACACTTCGGAACTCAGACACCCACACAGTGACAGACAGGCAGGCAGACCCTCACCACACCCAGGCTATAGGACCCCTTACAGCCACTCATCCCCTGGAACCCCTACTTTTCTCACCCCCAACCCCAGTGCAGATAGGGGTGTGGTCACAGGCAGGGGACCCCACAACTGCACCCTCGAGGCACACCCCTGGCTCTCAAACCAACCAAGACTCGAGGGAAGGAGGGGGCTGAGAAGAGGGACTTTGCATATTCTTGTATCTTTGGCAGACAGCTGTGCTAGCCTGGTTCAAGCTTCCCATGGAGACCACCACATCTTGACCTGCTGGAATTCACAGGATACCAGCAGGGCCACCTGCGCGAGAGCAGAGCACCTCTGCTCCAGCAGGGCTGCCCCTCGCCCACCTCCTCATCCGGGCCCAAGCTTCCTGCTGGGGTGAGGGGCTCTCCCTCCCACCTAAATGTGGTCTCCAAGATCAAGTAGTCAGTGACTGTGGCCCTGCTCCATGACAAATTCCTGGTTTGGGGCTGCAACTTCATATCTTAATAGCTCAGCCTCCACCAACAGGCTGTGAAAACACCACAAAGAACAACTGCAGGGAAACAAGGCAGGGAGTTACGTGACACAGAGCAGCATGGATGCCCCTCCCTGGCCTGCTGCACACTTGCTGGTGAGCTGCAGCCGCCTCCCTGTGCGGCACAGGCACGCACATCTCCCCCGAGCAAGCGGCAGAGCCACTCTCCGTGAGCGGGGAGCAGCTGCACGGAGAACGGATGGCAGCACGACAGTGCTCCGCCTGCCACAAAACACCAGGAGAGCGACCCAACGGTCACAGGCGCGCACAGCCTTGGAAGCTCCCACGGCACCGAGGCCTGTCCTCAAGGCTTCCTCTGTAGGCCACACAGGGAAGTTGGTCTTCAGAGAGGTTCTGGTGCTAACAAGCCACAGGGCTGACAAATACAAATGTCAAAGGCGTAACTCAACAGAAGATTACAAAGAAGAGAGGAGGAAGGGCAGACTTAGCAGCTGATGCCACCAGAAACAAATGGGGCCAGCCCGCTGGAGCCCTGTGGCACTGACCCACAGCCCCCAACGTGTCACACTGGCTGTCGAGCTGAACCACTTCAGGAGCACGCACTAGTCTACAGAGCATCTGACCCTCATTAAAAATGAAATGGGGCTGTAGGGGAAAATCAATGTGCTCAAAACTACAACCTCTGTAGGCAAAATAATTTTGTTTAAAAAGATGGCTTATTTCCCCCATTTAGAACTTCTTCCCTTCCCTGATTGCCCCAGTGACTTATTAGACTGACACCTAATAAACAAAACCCAAGGTGGCTGGCTGTGTGGATTTCTTGGTAGCCCCAACACCATCCCTGCGATCCGGCATTCACACATGCATACTGAGTTCACTCCACACTAGTCTGTTCTGCTGCTTCCTCTTCTTCTGGGATGGGAGTCAGAGCCAGGGGTCCGTGCGATGTGATCTGGAATCCAGAGGAACCCCTTGCCCTCCCCCCCAAAGTCGGGCCTTCTGTCTTTTGTTAATTTTTCTTCTTGCTGATACCCGTTTAAGACTGGCCGAAGGGGTAAGGCCCGTGGAGCCCCTGGAAGAGAGTGAAGACAGTCAGTGACAGCAACACAGCAGTGCAACCTGACAACCAAACCAAGCACTGGACCTATTAATCCCCAGAGAGCAGAAGGAAACCCCAGCCACAGAAAGACCAAGCCTAAGGTGGCGCTCGCTGGACAGAACCCCAGCAGACCAAGGATCGGGACGTTCCAAGTTGCTCAACTTCGCACGGAGAATGACACCATCCCAGGATGGTGGCCGCAGAGACTGCCCATCTTGCAAAAGCTCTATCAGCGGTTGCCAACACCCTCCTCCCACGTGGCAAAGCTTTCCTATTTCCTTCTCCACACAGTACCGCACCCCCATTCAGGAGCCTCCCACACCACTTTATTGCTACTTAAGACAACAAAAATGCAGCAAAAAGAGCGAGCGCCTACCCAACACCTCAGCACCAGGCATGGTCTAGGGATCTGTCCTCTGTTGTCTTTAATTCTCACCTCAGCCCTGCCAGCCAGATGAGCACTGCCATACCCATGTTGAGAGACTCCCACTGGACCGCATAACTCTGAGGCTTGTACGAGGTCTTATGGTTGGTAAGGGATGCCCCTTACCAGCCATACATAGCTGGGACTCAGCCAAGTCTAATGAACTACAGCGTTCTATCCTGCCACATGCTAAGATTTCTTCCACATTCCCAAAGGCACTTTCTCTATGCTGCTACGGCTGGCTGGAAAAGACTTCATGGCCTTACTTTTCTCTTTATTAAGGAGACAGGAGATGTGTTGATATCAGTACTTGTTTAAAACTGAAGATGGATATTTCTCAAACTGTGACCCAGAGTGTCTGACACACCTCACCCCCTAGGGTCACAAGAATCATCATCCTGCCAAAGCCAGGTCTGTAAACAGCTGCTGAGCTTGGGGACACTCTTGACTAGATCATGCCATCCACCTGGTTGCAGCCCCTAGGCCTCACAAGGGATGGAGGGAGATGCACAATGTCTCAAGTCCATGCAGTGGGTACAGACATGCACACCTGGGAGGTGAGGCCAGTCCTGCTTCCTACTCTGCACCAGTTCCCCACGTGACCCAGGATCACTCTTCCTCATGTCGCCTTAGCTGCCCTCCATAAATCCTTCACAATTTAAGATTTTAGGAGCTCAGGAGGCTAACCAATGGTATTCTAAGAAAAAATACCCCTGCAGAGGTCAAAGCTGCCACAGGTGGGGGAATATGAAGTTAAAGTTTCCATCGCTTCTTCAGTGGAAGTCATGCAAGGCAGACGAAGAAAGCCCTGCCACCCACAGAAAGCCCTCAAAGACTGGAAGTGTTTCTTGTTGCTTCGTGGATTTGCCGAACAACACATCTCAAGGTAAACAGGAAGGATGGGCAGCCAGCACTGAAGGAGTGCCCACTATGTGCCTGGTGCTATACCACACTTAGTGTTCTTTTAGTCCTCCAAAGATGCACTGACAAGCCAGGGAGGTAACACATCAAGGACATGGCACTGCTGAATGGAGCAGGTGGTGTGTGACAGATACTACTACACCGGCAGGCAATTATTTCTGTAGCCACCACCCCCACCAGCTTAACCGAGTCTGGGCTGGGGTGGCAAAGGGCCTGGCCGGAGGATCATGTGCAGCAGAGGCAGGAGGTAAGGTGGCCTAGGTAGGTGCTCTGACCACTGGTATTTTATTTAATGACTAAGACATTTATGAAGAAAAATGCTAACTCCCTTCTACCCAAACAGTGGTATATAAAGGCAGCTTAAGGAACATGACTTATTTTTGTTGTTGTTGCAGTGCTGGACCTCACACATGGCAGGCAAACATTCTACCCTGGGCCACACCCCAGGCCGGAACAAGATCTGTTTTTCTTCCTCCAATTTAACTACACCAGTTCAAGGAAGCAAGAAGGTGGGGGCCAAGATGGCTCAGTAGAGTAAGTGCTTCCCTGGCAAGCACAAGAGCCTGAGTTCAATCCCCAGTTTTTTTTTGTTTTTGTTTTTGTTTTTGTTTTTGTTTTGGGGGGGGGGTTGGCAGAACCGGGGATTGAACTCAGGCCCTTGCGCTTGCCAGGGAAGCGCTTATTCTACTGAGCCATCTCCCCAGCCCCTCAGTCCCCAGTGCTGGAGAGAGAGAGAGGGAGAGAGGGAGAGAGGGGGAGAGGGAGAGGGAGAGGGAGAGGGAGAGGGAGAGAGGGAGAGGGAGAGAGGGGGGAGGGAGAGGGAGAGGGAGAGGGAGAGGGAGGGAGGGAGAGAGAGAGAGAGAGCATGAGCGAGCACAAACACTTTTATTTCAGAACTACTTTATGATCCTGACTCCCAGTGTGCAAAATTTAGGCGTCCAAGTGAACCACAGAAAACAGGTGATACAATACCAACTGCAGAAAGCTGGTGAAAATCCCAAGAACAGCCTACGTGGGGCACTATGGCAGGAGGCTGGGCAGTAGGGCCTTTCCTTACAGAAGGTGGGGATATCAGAATGGAAACCTATCCACACTTCAGATTGTGCTCAAGTTCTAGGACCTGGTGTAACAGGTTCTGGTGGTCAACTCCAGCCAAAAGGTAGAATTTGGCACTACAGAGAACGTTCACTCTCCTCTGGGGCCTAGTGACTTTTATCTGCAGGAAAGCAGGTGCCAAGTATTAACTAACTTGCTATCAGTGACTTATCTTCTGTAACAGCTGTGCCATTATTAATAAGGAAAACGGATCAAAGGGTAGATGTATCAGATGATTTCAGAGAACACTGAATTCAACTCTGACCCCAGGTAAAATTAAGGCTATCAGCATGATTACAAAACCTAATGAGTTCACCGCAGAAAGCCACCCTCCTCTCTGAGGAATGGAATCAAATTGCACAGGAATTTGCCAAGATCAATTCATCCATGCTAAATGTGGATCTGAATACTGGAGGCCAGAAAAACCTGGTTGGGCATTGTGGTGCACCTCTGTAGCCCCAGCTAATTCTGGAGGCTGAGGCAGGAGGATCGTGTGAGACCAGGAGCTCAGGACTAGCCAGGAGAATAGAACACAAGCCCATCTCAAGGCAAAAAGTGACTTCAGGTCTAATGGCCAGTTCCCCAGGGTGTACCTGGCTTGTACAGAAATGGGTTTTCAAAGACTACACTGCTTAGGCAAGCTCCATACCCTTCAGCTTTGCACCACCCCACTGGTAAGTACTGGGGCCTGACTGTTGAGTGACCAAGCTAAGAACAAAGCTCCACACTCCCCAGATAAGGCAGAGTGGCCTCTATGCTCATCAGCGTGGGGAAAGTGGCCTTGACCAAACCCTTTAGGTTTTCACTAATTAGAAATGAAATTAAGGGGGCTGGAGAGATGGCTCAGTGGTCTAAAGCACCTACTTAGAACAAGCTTGGCAAAGCATCAGGGACCGCGGTTCAATCCCCCAGCACCACATGCCAGCCAGCCCCCCTGGTGGGCTGAGCTGGCCACACACACACACACACACACACACACACTCTCTCTCTCTCTCTCTCTCTCTCTCTCAAATAAATAATTATTAAAAAAAAAAAAGAAATGAAATTAAGGTTAACAGGCAGGATAATGAATGCACTTCCAGAATATTCTATCAGGCCCCTCTTGGAGACTGCTGACTGCTCAGGGAGACTGGCTGGTGGCATAGCAAGGTCACTTCAGCAGGAGTGCTTTGTGGGTGATTTAACACTGCTGTTTAAACCATTTTCATATGAAAGTCCCCCCAAAATTAAACATGTATATGATGTACTGGCCAAGGATGAGTGTGAAAACCTGGCCCCCTCTGCAAAAAATAAAAATAAAAATAAAAAGCTTTTTAGGCATAAGGTTGGTTGGGGGCGGTTTATAGCCTTCTAATTGCCAATCTGTTTAAAAGTTTAACTCAGCTGTGAGTGTGCCAAGTTATTTCCCCTGACACCCTCTGCCTCATTTGCTGAGACACGCCCTGGTGGGGACTGAACCCAGGGCCCTATATACACAGGCAAAGGTTCTGTCCCTAAGCCACACATCCTGCCTCTGGATATTTTTTATTATTATTATTTTTGTTTTCTGAGATAAGAGTTCTGCTACATAGTTCTGACGGTGTCTAACTTGCAGCAATCCTCCTGCCTCAGCCTCCTGCATGCTAAGATTACAGATGTAAGCCACATCTGGCTTTCTGAATAGATTCTAAAAAGCCCTGTAAGAGCATTTCTCATACTTACCTCTGTAACCATCTTTCTGTTATTCTTAACTAACCTCTATAGTTCTTCTGGGGAACTTTCCTCTGTCCACTCATCCTCCTTCCAACTACCCACCCACCGACACTCCACCTCCTGTCATCCACAAATGCTTATCCTCCCTCTTCCTTCCTCCCATTTTACATCCTCTCCACAGCCTTCCATCATCTAAGCTACCCAAGGCCAAAGACAACTTTCATAGCCTTCAAATAAAATTTTAAAAATCACCATGAAGAATCAAACTCTAACATAAATAATGAGAACACTATCTAAAGTCCGATAAGGGGCCTGGCTGTTGAGCGACCTGTGCTGAGAGGGTCAGTGCTAGTGCTGCCTCCACACGAAGCTCGCTCAACTCCTATCAGCTGCCTTTCCCTTCCCTCCCAGCATCACCTCACCACTGGTCACGCCACTCAGCGACAGCAGCTGGCAGAGAGAGTACGTTGTCTCTCCTTGCTCCCAGTCAATCACACTTGGTTTCATCTCACTAGGGAAACTTTCCTTGCCTGGCTCTCAAAGGTCTTCCTGGGAAATTCACCCCACCCTTTAAGCATACCTCATTCAGCACAGCCAGGTTGCTGGCCAGTGTCTTGTGAAAACGCCCTACTGGGGTTGCTGCTGAGCCTACCTGCATGTGGTATTCTCGCTGCTTCAGTTCAAATCTACCATCCAGCAAGAAGCCACTTCCCTTACTACTCCAGACTGTACTGCTTTCTCCTTCCCCCAAACCCCAACCAAAGTCAACTGGAATTCAATAGTCTCTATTTTACTGGCTCTCATTCCTTCCCACAGGCTAGTCATGATGGAGTCAGAGAGT